TTTGCTCTTGCTCTCCATTCTCATCGTGTAATCCTCCAATTTTCACTAGAAAAGAAGAGAAATAAAAATCTAGCTCTATCATCAATATTGAAACTGAGCAATATGATGAAACCTATATTTTGGGATCAACTTACTATAAGCTCTTTACTCTCTCAAAAACAATTGACTAACTCTGATATTTTGCAGAGTTGATAATTTTGTATTCAATATAAAATACAGTAGAAACCCAATAGGCAAATGGCAAGGGTGACATTTTTTTCGATTGACACAGAAATTAAAATTACCGAGAATTATTGAGAACGAATTTCTTTCAAAAGAATTTTTTTTCGATTTACCCGATTTTCGATTTAGCAGGGTGCAAATTATCGAGACTCGACTGTATAAATTTTGGTGCTCTGCACTGCCAATGTACCTAATCTACTCTATAGTAGTACTAACTATTAGCATAGAGGCCTTCACAGTGAACCCAATTAAAAAAGCTCCCCTCTCGCATATTAAGCTTGAGGCCAAACATTTTGCAATGCGGCGATGTCCTGTACTTGATTAAAGGCTAGTTATAAATTCCATTCATATGATAAGAGGAGAGCTGTCCAAAAGAGCTGGCGACTAAGTTGAGTGTAGCGAAGCCCTAGTTCAAAACAGGAATGCAGGCATATGTCGGCTGTGCCTAATCAATGAAATAGATGCTATAAAAATGCTTCCAGAGAATTTAGATGGTATCTAAAGCGTTGCTCTGCTTGCGTCATGCCTGAGCGTCACTTGGACTAATTTAACTAAAAGCGCAAATGGTGCTGAATTGTGCGCATCGTTGTCCTTGCAAATGTATTTATCCTTCCGCACTTGAATGTAAGTAAATAGAGCTCAGTAAGTCAGACTCTGTCACTGTCTCTGTCACTGTCTCTGTCTCTGGTTGTATATGTGTGTGTGTGTGTCTGTGTGCCGCTCGGTGCGCTTGTGTGACAATAACAATGCCATTATTCTTCGAGGCTTTTGGCACAATTTGAAATGGGGCTTTGCTGGCGGTTTGCCTGCGGCGCTGTCTTTCGCGCTGACTATCTGTTACTTACACTTAAGCGATTGCGGCCAGTTTGCACTGCCAGAGCAAATGAATTCCGGCGGAGTGAAGCAATAAAAGCGCCTTACGCCCACCAACATCGAGCTGGCTGTAAGACAAGATCTGCATGCGCCATTGAAACAAGGGCTATCATTCGACTATCAGGCGACTCTGGTCATTAAAGATGTGGAATTCCCAATCAAATTAGAACTCTTGTATAACTGTCACTAGAGGTGTGGGAGCGCCAGGAACTGTTGTATAGATATTATTAGAGATGCGCAATCTCAAAGCATGGCTATATAGCTATCAATGGAGTTATCAATTTCCAAAGAACTGTTATACACCCATTACTCAAACTGTGACTTCTTAAGCAACTGTACTAAATGATAGTATGCGAGGTTTTGGCTATGATAAAACTGTTATACAGACATTGTCAGTTTTGAGCAAGAAAAAAGTGTTTACTGAAGTAACGTTGAAAAAGGTGATTTAATTTTAATTGTATTCCATCATTAAAAAACTGTTATACAAAAGCTCAAACGAAATTGTTATACTGCTATTTATCTTATTATTATACAGCTTACTGTATATACTTATATAGAGTATACAACACTGTACTATACTACTGTACTGTACTATACTACTGTACTACTGTACTGTACTATACTACTGTACTACTGTACTGTACTATACTACTGTACTACTGTACTGTACTATACTACTGTACTACTGTACTGTACTATACTACTGTACTACTGTACTGTACTATACTACTGTACTATACTTATATAGAGTATACAACAAGTAAGCTATTAGATAACTGTTATACAAAGCTTAGTTTAATATACATATATGCAAGCATGTGTTGCGTGAAACTGTTATATGAACTAATTTAAAACGTTATATTAGAGCTACCAGGCTTGTCAATTTCCAGATGGTACCTCGGCGCCCTTAAGCCCCATACAAATTACGCTTCAGATGGTTCAGCCAATTAGCTCTAATATAAATGAATGGCAACAATATAATTTATGAATGTAAACAGAATGTTTATGCCTATTTCACAAGCTAAATATACGCATAATATCCACAACAATTTACAGTAACTCAGAGCCAACGTCGGCTAAGGGCCATCATTTGGATTTCAGCTGGCCGAAATGGCCCGAAATAGTTAAAATTTTATGTATGAAAGGCCACGGGAAAGAATTATTTAAAAACTTTCCAAAAAGTGTTGCTCATACGCCATGTGGCCCTAATATATGGAGGCCATTAAAACTGCAAAAATTATATGTTGGCCAGCAAGCACAAATGCTGTTGCCTAAAATAATCCTACAGCCGGGGCCAATTGTTGCCACCTCAACAAACTATTTGGCAAAAAGGATTTGGCTTAAATGACAAACGACGAAAAGTGCTCGGGCGTAAATAGAAGATGCACTCTACTCGCATTTCATGGGGCAGCTGATATTAGTCGGCCTCAAAAGAAATGCTAGTCGAAACATGGGCTACGGCTCCTATGAGATCTATCCAAATACCTTGATTAGATTTTCCTCTCTGATCAGGTATATAGACACACACATCTAATAGCTTTATAGAAATTGTACAGTTTTTTCTTCATTCACAATTCTTCGTACTTCAATTATAAAGCAAATTATGTTTAAAGTTTAAGTTCTCTGAGTTGAATCGAGAATTTAATCCATTCAGACCTTAAGCTTTTACCTGAGCATTGAAATGTGATGAAAGCAAACTCTTTAAAGCAAGCAGTTCAGAGCTGCTTTGGCTAGATCGTGCCCAGCGTGATACGACAGTTGCCCATCCCTAGCAGGGCATAAAACACACTTTGGACCTGCATATGATGTCCTTCTGTTTGTTTTCCTCTTCTTCGTTTTTTTTATTTTGTTTGTTCGCCTGTTTATATTGTTAATAAAACATTTTATTTTGCGCCAAATGATTCTCATTTGTTGGACGCATGCCCTCGTTTGTCTGTCTCTCCGTCTCTCTGTCTGAATGTTCTTATCGTCTGTCGCTGATGTCGGTCTCTGTGTCAGCTGCATTTAATTTGCGGGCCCACGTTGACTGTAAAAACGCGTCGTTTGCGACTGATATAATAAAACTCAGGGCCGAGAGCAACAAATCGAAGACGAAATACTCTAAAATGTACACGAGATGCTTGCATATGGTGGATTATTGTCATAAGAGTTTTAGGGAAAGCCTGAATGGCAGTCAGAAACGCCCTAGGTAGATAGTTTTAAAGTGATTGATTTCCATTAGGTATCTTAGTTAGATGAATATATACTTAAGTATCCTATGTATATGGTTTCGATGGGGCTAGACTTTGTTTGAAAAGTATGGCCTAGAACTATGGATGTTCTGCAAGTAAAAGAATATCCAATACCTATATCATTTTTCATGGCACACCCCCGAGGCAAGGGTACTATAGGCTTGGATCAAGAAGAATACACAAATACATTTATGTACAATATGCATCTCGTATAATTTGCTGCTTTACATATTTAATGGCATAGCTGACGTAGCCCCCGGGCAGTGTATTAAGAAGATTGGCAGCTCTTGGCAGACTTGGAATATATATTCGCTGCGTGCGCGTCAGTCAAATGTTACTTAACACCCAAGCCAATACGCACAGACACACACACGCACACACACAGCCACACAAAGGATTAACGGTAAACACAAGAAATTACAATTTTAAGCATATGAATTAAATGAAAAGCAGCAGCAAACACAAACAAGCGAATTAAGTTGCAGCTCTTTAAAGCCGGCCGCTCTTTAAAAAGCCATCAAGAGCAGTTGCGCCCGGAGGGAGGAGTACGGGTCAGGATGTTGGTCGCCCACTGTGCCGTGCTGCGTATGCCAAAAGCTTCCGTTGGTTATCCAGAAAACTGTTCTCCGATGACAGCAATTGCCCCGGCCAGAGCCAAGCGTCAACGCTTCATTGGATTTTAGGCAATCATAAGTAGGACGTCTGCCGCTATCTCTCCCACCCCGTCTCTCTCTCTCTCTCTCTCTCTCCCTTTCGCTCGCTCTTTGGCTATCTCGTTCGCTCTATCTGTGTGTCTGTCGGACTGTAACTGCCATCGCGTCTGGCCGCATCGCTGCCCTTTTTGGCTAAAAGGGAAATGCTTCACAAAAAAAATGTAGAGTGCCTGCGGCGAACGAGGCAACAAGGCTGCAGTAGAGCAGGAGCAGGAGTTGGGGCAGGAGCAGGGCATGTGGCATGCGGCATGTGGTATGTGGCAGGGGGAGGGGCATGGGACACCGGACCACCGGCAAGCAATGTTGGCGTTAGCACAGCTTTCAACTGCAGACTATGCCCAAATTTAACCTGACCTCTGTGAGCGCTCAGCTAGAACATTCCAAGCGTTGCCTTTGATAAACCGTAGAGCTCTATAGATTTCAATGCAGCATCTATGTAATATTGATGAATGCTCCAATTTGTATTCAGCTAGCATGCAAGCCAATATTCACTACGTTTTTTTCGAGCTAGTCTGCATTTGAGTTAGTTACGAGATTTCCGAATTTCCCAGCAAAAATGAAAGCATATTAAAGCAGTTCTATAAATCTCGCTTACATATGAAAATTCATTTAGAAAGCTACTACAAGTCTTAATAAAGCTTAATTGACTCTAGAAATGTTAGATATATGCATGCTTTAATATATTAAAAGCTTACTTAGAGAAGAATGAAAGCTCATTAAAGCTTAAGCTCCAATCAGTAGTGCAAACTTACTTTAAATTTAGCTTCATTAAATCTCATCTCATCTCGCTACAAAAAAAAAAAAAAAGATCAAAAGATTTCTTCACTTCCCTCCACAAAGGCAAACGAATTCGCAAAAAGTTTAAAGTGTGTTTGTGGTTTTTTATTTTGTATTTTTATTTGTTGTTTTTATGTAATTTTATTCATATTGAATTAATTGTTTTGTATATCTTTATACTATATACGCATATCTTACTATTTGCTGCTAGAATTCAGAAAAAATTGTTCGCGTTTCCATTGACATCGACATTAGCAAACTCTCATTATCCATCTTTGTTTGATGCTTTTCCTTTTCCTTTTTGAATTTTCTTTGTGAGTACATAATTTTCTAGTTCAAGTGTCATTTGAAGTGCTTTGGAATTGGGTATTTCATTCAATTTGTTTGTGTAATGTGATTGGAGGGGGGAGTGGAGGTGGGGAGTGGGAGTAGGAGAAGCATTTGGTTTCGCTTCATATTTCTTACTTTTAGGTTCATTAATCTTAATCTAAGGTATGTCTCCATCTGCTCCTGCCGCTACCGCTACCGTTACCACTGCTGCTGCTGCTCCACACTCGATATTAGCTTTGCCTTTCCATCTTACAATATGCGTATGTGTGTATATATGTAGATACGTATTCACTATTTGGACACAAAAAAAATATATATATGTATAGACATCGACTTTTACAACGTGTGTGTAATTTGTGTATTCATATTTGATGAGGCCTGTTTCGCAATTCGTCTATGGGCGCATAATACTTATGTTTAATACTTGAATGTTTATGACTCCCGTTCAATTATATTATAATGTGCACAGATCATAAATATATGTTTATTTACTTTGCACCTCGGCGACACTCGGTTCGCCGGAGCTCAAGTGGAGTATATTGGCTTTTGGGATTGAATATTGAACATTGAAACATTGAAATGTGTATGGGAATACTTTTGACTTGGCATGTTGGATAAGTCTAGATGGGTAGTTTGACTACAATTGGATTCCAGCTGAGAATGGACTTCTTCTTACATGAAGAAGACTTATACAAAGGGTGACCATATTTTGACTAAATGTTGACTACACCTAAGGAAGAGATTTGTAAATTGGAATTGGAAGTTGACGCCACTTGGGCATATTTCAATTATGCACATCTCGCAGATTGAAGATCTAGAGTGACCATAATTGGAAAATAAAAAAGGAAGCAGCATACAATCTTAATGAAGGTCCCGAGTTAGGGTGAACAGATTCAGCGTGAAGACGAAGTTTATTTTTTTTATAGGGTGACCAAATTGGGAATTTGAATGAAGGTAAGTTTGTTAAAATACTCAAATATATTTGCTTTGTTTTGGCAAATTGTAATTATAATTCAATTTATCTTAATATTTATCTCTCTATAGAGAGCTAGCTTTTTGAATATGCGAACGAGTATTGTGCAGTCGGTCGTATCCGATCTGCAAAATCTACTTTTATTTTATGTTGTTTTCGCATGTGCGTGTGCGTGTGTGTGTGTGTTGTCTTCTGTCTTCTGTCTCTTATTGAGGAAACGAAATTTGACGAAACAGACGCTCCTAATGGTTGTTTGTATCTTATGTGTATATTACGAGTAGCTCTGTAAACATTTATAGTAGTATTTATCATACTTTAGATTTGGCCTTTGGATTGCAACCACCTTTCCCACTGCGCACCTGATTTCGATATTTTCCTGTTCTATGGCCTTTGCTGTGTCTATGTCTGAGAGTGTGTGTATTATATATGTATATATGTACATATATATGTGTGTGTGTGATGTTACTTTGTGGTTTGTGCTGCAAAGAATTGACATTTTTGATGCTCCCCATTGAAAGCTGCTGCTGTCACATTCCCTTCCTCTCACTCTCACTCCCTCTCACTCTCTATCTATCTCTGTCTCGCTCTTATTCACTGTCTAACTATCTATCTCTCTCTGTCAAGTTCTTGAGTTTTCTTTCGGCTGCTTTGCGTTTCCGTTTGGCGTTGACTAACAGCTTGAGTTTCCGCTCTGGAGTTGGGGCGGGTGGGGGGCGGACATAGCCAAGTTTTACAAACTTTGGCGAGAATGTGGATATGCTAGCTGCTGTTGTTGTTGCTGCTGTTGTTGTTGCTGTTGTTGCTGCTGTTGTTGCTGCTGTTGTTGCTGCTGTTGCTGTTGAGTAGGTGCTTTTGGTGGCTTTGAATCAGGCAACGACGTCAACTGATTCAATTTGCCAGCAATGCAGCTTTGATTTCTCGTCTCTTGAATACCAATTATATAGCAGAGGGCTAAGGGGTTGGCCTGGTACAAAGTGGCGGAGGTGTGGTTGTGGGTGTGTGACAGTGTCGGAAATGTGTGCTAACTGTAAAAGTCGCTTCAATTACAGTTGCTGCTGGTGTTTAGCCCAAGATCTTCTTGAAATAGCTAACGGTTTCCGGTTTAGTTAGCGAGCGTCGTCGATTTGGCTTGAATGGCGCCTCAGTTTCCTCCTGCAGGAAGTTGCGCCGTGTTGTGGCGCTCGTTAGCTCCAGCTCATCCACATCCACGCCCTCATGCTCCGGCTCCGATTCAGGATGAGCGCCGGCAATAGCAACACTTTCGCTTTCCAAATGCAACTTTGCGGCGGCCTTCACAGCTGTTGTTGCTGTTGCTGCTCCTGCAGTAGTTGCTGCTGCCGTTGTTGTTGCTGTTGCTGCTGTTGCTGTTGCTGTTGCTGTGGTTGCATTTGAACTGTTTTCATTAGCTGTTGGCTGTTTTGTTGCGGTTATTTCTTGCAGCTGAGGCGCCTCCGTAGCAATCTCTTTGCTGCTGCTGGATGCCTTTGTTGCTGTCGGTACTGTTGTTTTCGTCGTTGCCTTGATTGTTGTTGTTGTTGTTGCTGCGGTTGCTGTTGCCCCGGTTGCGCTAGCTGTTGGCGTCACGATTGTAACTGGCGCTGCTGCTGCTGCTGCTGATGTTGCTGCTGCTGCTGCTGTAACAACATGTTGGCGACTCTTTTGCTCGACTGCTGCAGCTGTTGCTGTTGGCATAATTGTTGTTGTTGATGCCGCAGCARTTGTAGTTGTTGTTGTTGTTGGTGTTGCAGTTACTGTGGCTAGCGGACCGTTGTTAACATGCTCCCAATGCTCCCCATGCTCCCCATGCTCCCCAGCGTGCTTCGCCGGCGGCACATAGTGCGACTTGACCAGCAGCATTGGCGGTATGAAGTGCGAATTGTCGGCCGTTTCCTTGACATGCGGATGGGACAACTCATCGCGTGCCTGCTGCACCGGATGAATGGGATGTGCGATGCCCACCGTTGTCGACGTGCTCAATGGTATTGCTGTCGTTGCTCTTGCTGTTGCGGCTGGCATTGGTGTTGCAGTTGCTGTTGCTGCTGGGATGTTGGTGGTGTCAGTGTTGCTACTATATAAATTGGGCGTGTTACCGGTGGCGGCAACAACTGTTGTATCTGTATCCGTTTCCACTTCCGTTGCCGTTGTTGTTGTTGCTGCTGTTGCTGCTGCTCCCGTTGTTGTTATCATAATGCTCCCATGGGCTGTTGTTGCTGGTTCTTTTGTTGTTGTGGTTGTAGTTGTAGCTGCTGCTGTTGTTGTAGGTGCTGCAGTGGTTGTTGTTGTTGCCAGTGTTGTTGTTGCTAGTGTTGATGTTGCTGCCATTGTTGTTGCTGCCGCTGTGGTAGTTGCCGCTGCTGTTGTCGGAGCTACTGTTGTAGTTGTTGTTGCTGCTGCCACTGTAGACGCCGTCGTTGGTGCTGTTGTTGTTGTTGTGGTTGTTGTTGCCGTTGCTGCTGTCGCTGTAGGCGCCAGAGTTGATGTCGCCAACTGCCTGACAGTTGTTGCCGGCTCGCTGCCTGCTGCTGTTGCTGCTGCTGCAGCAGCGGTTGTTGCCTCCACAATGGTCGGCATGGTCCTCAGGTCCTGTGGCAACACCTTCTTCTTGTGTGGCAGCGGCTCGAATATCTCGTTGGACACGTCGCTGTCGCTGACATCGTCCGGCAGCTGCTCCTCGCTCAGGGCCGGCTGATCGCCCATCATCATGTCGAGGTGGGCGAGGGGCTTGGGCGTTGCCTTGCGCAGCTGCATTTGATACTGGGTCCGCAGCTTCTTGTCGTACTCCTCGTTGATGTTCACCTTCTTGGCGGACTTCTTCACGGGCATTGGCACCTGGTCGGGTATATTGTAGTGGACCACGGGCACAGGCTCATCGGCCATCATGAGTCGGTCCAGGCTGAAGCGTTCAGCTGGCGCGACGGTGTCCACCTCGATTTTCACACCTGCTGCAGCATAGCGCGGCACCAGGGGCAGCAACTCGATGTCGTTGTTCTCGTTGTTGTCGGTCCGGATGCTCTTGATGATCTGCAGAGACTTGAAGTGCGAGTTTGTGATGTCGTTGATCCGCTGAGCCTCCAGCCGCTCCTTGGGACAGATCAGCTCGCGTACGGCCCGCTCGCGGTCCTGCAAAGAGAGTTGCCACAACAAAGAGACGGGGCCGAAAGAGAGATAGGCAAAGAATTTGGCACATGGTTCAGCTACCTCCACACTGTCGTCCACTCACCTCCTTGCCCTTGCAGGTGTGGCGCAGTAGGCCCTCCTCCTGGCAGTTCCTAATGAGCTCAATGCTGGCCGTGTCCGCCATATACTGCATAGTCAAATTGGGCATCTCCTTCAGAATGCAGGCGTCTGCCCAGCTGGGCACTGCACGGCACAAGAGTAGAAGGCTTTAGCCCCTCCCCCATCCAGCTCATACGCACACAAACTTACCTGGCATTTCGCAGAGGAACGAGGCTGTCTCCGGTCCGCCGCAGCGCAGCGCATGCCATCGATAGTCGCGTATGGGATCGATAACAGCGCAGAGCGGAGCATCCATTAGCGGCAAAGACTCTGCCCAGTAGCCAGTATCCGCCACCAGAGGGCGTGAGTTGCTATATATATTTAGATACATATGTATATAGGTATGACTAGGTGCTATGCAAACAACTAAAGCTAAGCTAAGCAGAGGTCATATCACCTTCTAGGAGCTATATACAGCTGGAGCTAAATTCAGATTTGTTAATGATTGAACTATAAATCAGAGCACAATTTAGAACTATCCAAATATTCTATTTTATTTATTTTCATTATTTAAATTGTTAAAAATATATATTAAATTATACCGAATATTGTGGAGTAAGCTAACATTCAGATGGCCTTCATGTTAAAGTTGCTGTTAAATTAATTGCGGACACGAAACAGAGAAGCTGTAGACAACTTGTTACAGTCGCAGTAACAGAATGTTAAGCATTTACATGTAGCTATGCCTTCTAGGATTATATAACTGGAGCTTAACTCAGATTTGTTAATGATTAAACTATAAATCAGAGCTCATGTTAATTTTTACTGCCCAAATATTTTATATCAAATGGTTATGGATGGATGGATGGATCAAAACTTGTTTATTTTCATTATTTAAATGTTAAAGATATATATTAAATTATACCGAATATTCTAGAGTAAGCTAATAATCAGTTGGTCTTCATGTTAAAGTTGCTGTTAAATTAACTGCGGACTCGAAACAGAGAAGCTGTAGACAACTTGTTACAGTCGCAGTAACAGAATGTTAAGCATTTACATGTAGCTGTGCCAATTAACATAATGAATAGATGATTGATTCATTTGAATCCGAGGGCGTTTCTCCTCCTACGCACAACTTTTGGCTTATAAAGTTCCCCCATAACTTTCTATTTGACTCGCAGCTAACGAGTTGAAATTGAAACTTCTAAGTATTAAAGAGCTCTCACATCGGAGCGCGCAGTCCAAAAATAAACATATCAACACGAACAACACAATTACAATACTGTGTAGCTATTGTTGTTATTGAAGCAGTTGCTGTTGTACTTACGACCACATGAAACGATCCGAGTTCTGCGGCCGCATGAGTCCAATCCAAACGATGTCGTTCACATCCAATTCCCTTAGCAGGTCGCGAGTTGCATCAAATTGAAAACTGTTGTCGACTGCCAGCAAAACACAAAAGAAAAAAAAATAGAATACAAATACAATAAAAATACAAATGAAAAGGGAAAAGGGAAAAGGAAAACAACAACAGCACATGCGACAAAAACCAACAAAAGTAAAAACAATAAGAATGAGAGAACGAGAACGAGAACCGAAGGGTTTGAAAAGAGAAACAAATGGTTTTTATTTGTTCAATGCGAATATTTCTATTTAATTTGTCCGGCGTATTGTTTTTGTTCCGTTCCCTGTGCCGGGCATACGGCACATTTGCCAGCAACAGCGACCACAGAAACCACTCCGAAAGGCCCCTACCGCCCACAACTCCCCCTCGCCCACTCCCTCTATTCAAACAAAAAAAGCAGACAGACAGCCAGGGCAGCGGCTGGTCTAATCCAATGCATGTTCTCAACTTGTGTTCATACTAAAAATATTTACGAAAGCAAAAAATAAAATCGAAAATGAAACTGGGTGTGGAAGGGCTTCGGCTCTGTGTGCATAGAAATTTATACAGCTCAGAGGGAGAGAGGAAATTGTTGGACAAAATCGGACATCCCTGACAAAGTTAGTTAACAAACAAGTTTAGCCTTGGATGCGGGATAACATCTAGTAACCGATAGCTAGTTAGTTAATAGTTACAGTTAACACACGTAGATGCTAGGCTAATCCCGAGTACAGTGTATCTGCCAGCCACTTGGAGTTATATGAGCAGATAAAGACCTGCATATGCGGTATATGAGTGTCTACCAGTTGGCACTATCATTATTATTACTTATTATCATTACATTAAGGACATCGATATAAGCAACTCAATACCCATAGGAAGAGGACTAATATATGAGATAAGGGATATCTAATATCGGAAAGGCTTAGCTATATAATAAATTAAGATCTACAGGGCATCTTTTAGTCGCTTTTCACTCTTTGATATTGGATATTCATAATAAAAATACGCTTAAAACTTTTAAGATTATATCCCTAAAACATTTACTTCGATATATCTCCCTTTGAATATGAGCTACAATCGATCTGATGAATATACACATAAAAAAAATATATAT